TGACAGATATGACTTTTTGTCAATATGACTAATGTTAACTCATATTTTTAATTTGGCATTTCAAACCGGGCAGTTTCCTAATAGTATGAAAATAGCAAAAGTTATTTCGTTGTACAAATCTGGGGATAGGCACAATTTCACAAATTATAGGCCTGTTTCCCTGCTATCAAAATGTTCAAAAATCTTAGAAAAACTTTTTAATAACAGATTGGATATATTTATAGACAGACATAAAATCCTTTCTGAAAGTCAATATGGTTTTAGATCAAATCGATCGACATCATTGGCCATAACTGAACTGATGGAGGATATTCCCAGTGCCATGGATGGGAAGAAACACACGTTGGGAATATTTATTGATCTAAAAAAATAATTTGATAATAATTTGATACAATAAATCATGAAATATTAATTGATAAATTAGAAAGATATGAGATTAGGGGAATTGTTTTGAAATGGATCACAAGTTATTTGACATGTAGGTGTCAATTTGTGAAGTTGGGTGAATATCAGTCGAATGAGTTGGATATCGTATGCGGAGTCCCCCAAGGTTCAGTTTTGGGTCTTAAATTGTTTACAAATGTCATTAATATATAATATAAAGTATCTGAATTATTGAAATTAGTTTTATTTGCTGATGACACTACTATATGGGCATCTGGTGAGAATTTACAGCAACTTTTTGGATTAATTACTCAGGAAATGGATAAAATAACGAAATGGTGTGATAGAAATATATTATCTCTAAATTTGGATAAGACCAAATTTATGGTATTTGGTAATCGACGGCTGGATAATCAACTCCAATTAAGGGTAGGGGGAGTTAATATAGAAAGAGTGTATGAAAGTGTTATAGTTGATGATAAAACTTGCTGGAAATCTCACATCAAAATATACAAAACAAAATGGCCAAAAGTATTTCTATACTGGCAAGGGTTAAACATATTCTGGATTGGAAAACACTCCATATTCTGTATTGTTCATTGATTTTACCATATTTAGATTATTGTG